AAGTGAGCCAATTGTCTAGCATCAAATGTGGCACAAACTTTGTCCCAATGCAGCACTGTATCCAACCGATGTGCGAATGTCAATACGCAGCCCAGCCCTGCCTTCTCTGGGTCTTCGTTGGCGGGAAGTACTATGGCCTCACTAGAGACCGTCCCCTTCCATGAATGTTGGAATGCGGGAAAAGACAGTTGGAACCCTTGTCTCCAAAACGTGATGCAGCAACCCGCAGGGAACTTAGTTAATCTTCGTGCTAGAGTAGGCAAAAGTGCAGCTGGCTTCTCAAAATGCCATACTAAATGCTTGACTAGTATGGACGCCGGGGGGGGCGCCATCGGGGGGCGTCTGAGCCGCTTCTGTATCAAGTTCACGCGTTCAGCCTTTGACTCTGTGCAACCCTTGCTTGATTCATGTCAGTGACTTGGACCGGCAAAAGCTGGAAGACTGAAAAACGGGACCTTAGATGACCGTCCGAGGGCACTGGTCCAGCACGCATGTCGTCATCTGCTGCTCAAAGCACGGCAAGATCCGCATGACGGGATGCAAACGATCTAGAATTTAAAGACGCTGCCATCTGAAGCAAGTATTCGTGCGAGGTTCCAGTGCGGCATTTCCTTACTGCACAGCCTAGAAGTACCTTCCCGGCAGCTCCTGCAGCCAGGGAAGGGAGCTGTGCTGCATGGTATTTTGGGCAGGACCATCCCAACATAACATGCGCTGGAAATTGCCGAAATGCAACTTATCAAATGCATGGCCAAACTGGCAATCACAATGCCTACCCGAAACCAAATCAAAGCAAATCTGGAGGGCTGGCTGTTCTTTGGCCCCGCTCAGGAGTTGTCAATATCAGGGCCCGCTTCCAATGCATGGCTGCTGGTTCGTTTGGATATCCTCTGCTCAGATCCCTGGCATGAAGGATTCCATTCTCAAATCCATTTGGTCTTGGTCAGATTGGGCAATGTGCGCCGTCGACTGTAGTTGTAATGTCGCCGTTTGCTGAAAGCCTCATCTTTTAGCAAACCCGCACTTCCCTTGCAACATTGACAAAATGACAGCTGTCAGGTGCCCGCTGCAAAACTCATGGCCTCTCCAACTTGCTCAAGGCAACAGGCAACTGGCACCCTTGGCATAGCCCTCTCTGGCTGAGAAGATCCCGACGCACCTTGTTGGATGTAAAATCTGAAAATAGGCTAGACCCAGGACATGAAGGTGTTAGGCAGGTTGCGTTGTCCTCACCGACCCACTCCCCTTCCGGCTACCGAAGAATCTGCTCAACACCCTCAAGCCCCTGATCATACTCTCAAACCTTCCCTCCCACCCAGTCGAGTTGCCAGAACCCCCCAGCGCTTGTCCGCCTTGTCTCCTGGATCGCCGTCCTCAAATGTGGGGGGTGCTGTTTGCTGGAGAAAAAGTTGAGCAACTGAACCAACAAAAAAGCGGGCCATCATTGACAATGCGCACAGTGGCACAGGGAGGAGCAGCAATCCCATCCGCCTTTTTACCAAATAGACCCTATTGATATGTGTTGCCCCCCGGAAAGTAGTCTCTTTTTTTTTGAATTTGGGTGGGGGGCGTCCGCGTTTATTACGGGAAGCTAGGCAAACCTTAGCCAGGTGATTTGCCCCAACCCAAACGCTATTTGGCTCACCTACGCGCCCTCGCTGAGCGTGGCTGTGAGTCTCGCCACACCCCGAGATCTGAAGCGAACCCGGGAATGCCTCTATGCGTGTTAGAATGGCAGGGTCAAATATGCTGGATGCAGGCGGGTCTGTCATTTTTGGGAACCCGCTTGCATGTTTTTGGCTGGTTTTTCAGGGAAACCAAAAGGAAAACCACCATTGAGTGGATCCCCCTTAGAAAAGACACACCCACGTGTGCTTCTCTCCGCATATATGTTGTACGTACATCTACCTGCCTTTGGCGAAAATACAAAATGTCCACCATGAAAACCTATGGATGATCCAGAAACCCTCCTTGGGCCAAAGCTGTGGTTCTGTGGTCCCACGGCAACCGGTCGGTCTGAAACATCTTCTGATCCGGCTCATGGCTCCACATGGAAGAAGGTTCAGTTTGGACCAAGCTTTGCTACTTCTGATGCCACAAATGGCCGCTTTTGCTCAGAGGGGCGGCCTTGCGCTGTTTGCCTCAAAACGCACGCAGATCGCTCCCAACATAACACCGCTATGTCTCCGCCCTTCGGCCTAGACAAGCACCGAGCTTTCTGACCCTTACCCATTTACACACCCAATCGTGAGGGTGGTCCCAACATGCTTGGGTATGTGTGCCTTCTTGAACTGTCTCAGAAGCAAATGCCGATGTTTCCCGGTTTAACATGACATCCCAAAAAGTGGATACCTTCCCACCAACTACCCCGGAAGTGCAAAAAGGCCCTTTTTAAGGGGAAAGTAGTCTTTCTACAGGGATCTGTGCACTTCCATGTTAGGGGTAGCCCTTGTGCATCCTGTGGTCTAGTGCCTCTGGAGTTGCCAGGGCTGGGAGTTCCAGAAACCGCATAATCGCCTGGCATTTGGCCATTTCGCCACATGCCGCGCGGCGGTGGAGAACTCGAACTCCGCATAGTCGCCGGGCACCTGCGATGGCATCGAGCCCAGGGCCGTGGAACAGTTGAAACTTCGTGCCTTGCGTGCTCACGTTTGGTGGATCTGGTTTGTACACTCTGGAGAAGTGTGACGCCAAAAACATGGAATTCCAACCGAAGATGTGCTTTTGTGTGCAAACAATGGAATTGCAACGAAAGAATGCTTCTTCCTCACAGGTGCCACCAAATGCGCATTCCAAACTGATCAGTGGTTGCGTGGACACATCCCAGGTCTGACACGCGAGGCGGGTCCAAAAGACGCCTGCATGCCAAAGTGCGGTTCCACATCCATTGGGTTCAAGACTCAATCACGCGGTCTGTGCGCTACAGTCATGGGTTACTCCCCCTATCTTGGAGGTGCAAAGAACACTACGCCGTTGGACGGGCCAAAGCTGCTTCTTGCTGAGGCACATCTCACCAACGGGTATTGAGAGCATCTGGCATCTCTAAGAGGATTCTGGCAAGACTGGTCACCAAGGCATCTGGTTTGCCTTCCACAACCAGCGCTTTTCGTTCCCAACATTGTGGGCAACGCAAACAACAAGTGGCAATCTATGGGCGCCCACCCCTCGAACCTGCCATCACTTTCCAGAGGGATTGGTCATGATTCTCTCAACGGGCGGGCCGGCGGGGTCGCCGCGGAACACACTGCCAAACAGAGTTTGATCATCTCATAAATTGTTCCCATTGACAAGCACACACCCTTCATCTACACACCCCGAGCGTGTTAGATGGCGTCATGTCGCATCGAAAGCGTCCCCAGGCTGCGCTGCCGGCGCAGCTGAGTAAAAAGTACGGTTTGAGTGGTTTGTTCCACCTGGTGTGCCCGGCAACGGGTGTTTTAACAACTAAAAGCACGGCGCCACCTTGATCTATTTGTGCAGCAACAAGGCTAGAATCAATGCAACTTCAATTGTTCCAGGGGAGGCACGGGATCTCAAAGGCGACGCAACTCAAACATACTGGTTCCGTCTGGTTCCATCTGGTTCCTAAAGATAGAAAGACCCCTAATGCATCTCAATCAAAGCGAGCGCAAGCCATCGCGCGCTCCAGCGAAATTCCTGACGCCGTTGCCAACAAATGGCACTGACAAATTGGAACTACCATGAAACTAGCAGAATCCACCTATTTGCACCCAAACCAACCAAAAAACACGACATCTATGAAACACCACCTCGCAAAAACAAAAAAAAACTCTCTTTCGAGCTCTCGCGGGGCCTTGCAGCGGCTCCAGCAGGTCTTGCCGCTGGGGCCAAACATCTCGTGCATCTGCAAAGGCTTGGGCCGCGGCTGCGTGAAGGCCTTGGTCAGTGGAGTAACCAGAGAAAAACCAGAAGAAACCCCCAGAAAAGCTCGCCCCCCCCCCTTCCTGGGCTGTGAGTGGATTCACCGAGATCCCCATAGAAAACCACATGGGATTCACCGGAAAGATTGCCCCTTCCCATGAAACCAGGCGCAACATTGACATTGCTTCAGGAGTGTGGGCTCATTCCCTCGGCGCAGTTGAAACAGCAAGTTTCATGCCGTGGGATGCACACTCCGGGTGCATGCTGCAGCTGGACTCCAGCTGCACCGTTCAAGCAACAATAAACCATAAGCACGGATACCGTGGTGTACACGCTGCTTACTAGCTACTTTCTTGCCGAGAGGACATGTTTGCCATTGGCCTTGATGGCTCTATCAACCATCATAGCCTGTGCAGTGACAAACTCTTGCACAGCCTTAAGCATTGGCCAATTCGAAGCTCGTGAGGCAAGCTCGGAACATCTCGGAACACACGGCCCCGTGGCCGGTGACAGTTTTTGCTAAGCCTCAACTCATCAGATCTCATTCCCAGAAAGATGCACAGTCCTTCTCGTTTACTTGCAAGGTTCCCTATTAAAATGACCAGAAACCTATCGGGGTTGCGATTTTCGTCGTTCTTATTTCTTCACGTCTTTGACCCGTGCTGCTCATGCCATGATGCAAGGGCTGGTCTCACTGTTATCAGAGCGCATGTAGGAAACGATCAAATTGAAAGGTCCGCCCAGCGAGCCCACGGTTTCACCAAGCCCGCTGTTTGGCAGCGCACATGAAGCTAGTTGTCTCGAGGGGGTGCTGCAGTCAGTGCATGTGACAGCGATTCATCAAGCAAAAAATAGTGTCAAACCAAACAAAACGAGCGGTAGCTGGTGCGGACAAATGTTTGCCTGCCGGTATCCGCGACAGCGTTGTGGACAAATTCCTTATGTTACATTGTCACGGGGCTTACTTTGGTCTCACAGAAAGGCACGTATCCCCTAGTTGGAGGTTGGATTGGTGGGGAAATGGGACTGCAGCAAAATCCCTCAGGAAAAAGAGGATCAATCGATCACTGCAGCTCCGAGGCTTGCAGTACCTTGTGTCGCCATTCGCGCCTATGCAATTATGCAAGGCCATCGGGGAAAAGGTCAGTGAGGCCCTCATCGCTGGAAACCTCTTCCTCCGCCTCCTTGATCTCTGTCTGGTTCACTGGTGTAAGTCGCTGGTCCGTGGGGGATTCGTATGGAGAGTCGGGATCATACTTGATGCCGTCATAGAACCTCTGCTGTGTGCAGGTCTATGTATGCATGGATTACCTGGTTCCCAATTTCCACAAACACCTCCACAAAAAGCAACGTATGCAACATTAAGAGAGGAGCGTGATGTTTCCGATCATGCACCACGCTCCGTGGCAGCTGGAGCAATGCTTGTCGTTGAGGGCACAGAAGTCATCGGCCGCCGCAACCCCCGTGTAGGGGAAGGCGGTGTTGCAGGGGTCCTTCTTGTCCTTGAAGGCCTTCACACACCTGGGCCCGTGGCACCAAGTGCCGCCGCACCCCCCGCACTTGCTCTTGGTGGAGCAGGTCGCGTCCTTGGCCACGTCTGCGCAGGTGCCGCAGGTGTCGGCCTTGTCGGTGCCCCGGTAGCAGCAAACCCCACGGGTCTCCTCCGGCGCCACATACTCCGGCACCTCTGCGCCATGTTTGCCCTCGGTGAGGGTGAAGTGGGAGTTCCAGCCCGCGCGGCACCACTCGCCCTTGCAACTCTTGCAGCCCTCCGCGTCCTTGGAGCAGACCGGATCACTGCTCGTGGCCTCGGGATAAGCTGTCCCGCACTTCCGGAACGGGTCGGCCGCGCCGAGGACACACTTGCTGGCGCACCAGGTGCCGCCGCAATCGCCCAAGCACTGGCTCTTCCTGGAGCACTTGGTCTTGTAGGATGCGATCGACATGGGATAGCAGGTGCCGCAGGTGTCCTTGCTGTTCTCACCGCTGAAGCAGCACAGGCCACCCTCCTCTCTCTCCCTGTCCTCCTGCATCTTGGTCTCGTTCATCTTGCTCAGCTCCTCGATCTCACTGTCCTCGTCAGGCTCAGCCGTCTCTGGGGGGTTGGAGAAGTCGAAGTCAAACTGGAAGCCAGTTGTTGTAGAAGCCGTCGCTGGCCGAGTCACGTTCGCCTTTGCGTTGGCCACGGTCACATTTGGCGCCGCGGGTGCCTCAGTGACCTCTGCCACCTCCGGCACCTCAGCCACTTCCGTGGTCTCCGTCACATTTGGCACCTAGGGCAGGGCCGCAAATTTGGCAAAACCCCCGGGTGCCATGGGCCCCTCAAGGAGACTTGAAAACTCGATTGGCTGCTGTAAACAGCAGCTTAGTTGCTTAGTACCATTGGGCAGGTTCGCACATCTCCCTACCAAAGGAACCTCACCTTAAGTCTGCCCCAGAATGAGCAACAGGAAATACCGCGAACCTTGGCCGGGACCCTGCCTGGTGAAGGGCAATCTCGGCGTCCACTTCCTTTCCCCGGAGCTGGCGCAGGGACAGGGCACACTCCTCCATTGCGGAAAAGGCAACCAGTCCTCACATGTCCTCACCACCTACCTTCTCACTTTGGGGGGGTCGCTTCTTGGTTGCTGCAACGACCCCTCTGCAAAAAGTGGATAACTTGTTGTGGGTTTAGTGGAACAGGGATCCTTACATTATACACCTGAACATTGCCTTGTAAATGGTGGTTTCCCTTTATTTTGGTGGAAAAAGCCATGTTTCAATTGGGCAAAATGTATCTTTTAAGGAGCCCTGTGGAAACCCCCTTGATTTCCGCTAAAGTGAAAGTATCAAGATCCAACGCAATAGCCAAGCCCTGCCCTTAAACCCAATTTCCCAAAACCGCGCGCTCCTCTCCCTCGCAGACGTCCGTCTCTAGGGCCGACCGAGAGTCCAAGTCATCAGCACCCACCAGTGCGGTGAGCGCTGCGAGGGCAAGAAGACGCTGCATGGCAACACGGAAAACGCTGTTTTGCCGTCCTGGACAAAGATCTCAAAATCTGCGCGAGTCCATGCAAACCTAGAACGGTATTTTGGGCGTAATGCAGTTGTCGATTTGGAAGCCAGTCAGCAAGAACGCAAGGGCAATCTTATGAAAATGGGCCCGGCTCAGCATGCCACATGTATTCACATGTTAGATATTCTGAACCGACTTGCTTACGAAACCTCCCTTCCAAACATCAGATTCTGGCGAAGTCGGATCTACCCCTGATCAATCACATTAAATAAATGGACACCCGAGGGGTCATTGAAAACTAAGTGGCTCCCCACCATACCTCCAGCCAAAAACTGCTTCGATTGATGCTTCATCCAAAAGAGGTAGATCAGATCAAACACCTCTGCCCAAGTCTACTTACATGGCCATAGGAAAAAATAGATGGCCCTGGTAAATGGAAAAAAAACCCATCTATTTTTCACCAAACTGAGCTAAAAAGGACGCCTATGTACATTGCTGGCTGTTTGAGCCTTCTATGAATCTAAGGTCATCCCCCGATTGCCTGACCAAACATCGTCAAGCGGCAGCGCTCGCCCGGCCAACTCGGACGATCGATCCCCACTGCCGCCGTGGCGCTACGGCCACGCCTGGCGTATCCAGCAGCTTCTGCACCTGTTCTTGCACCTCCTGCGCGAGCTGCTGCACTCAGTTGCCCAAAGGACCTGGAACTCAAAGGTTAACCTGTTGGGGCCCAGCGTCTCCGCTTGTGGTCCAGCCAGCCCTTCTTTTCACTGCCGATATTGTTTGATCTGCAGGGTGGAGACCTCAAAATGGTGAGCGCCTTGCGTGAACATTCCTACTTACTTAGCAATATGTAATTGCGCGTGTGGCTTTGTTTCGTGCCCGCAAGATCCCGCAAGCATATTGAGATGTTATGAGGTAACAGTTTGCTTCTGCACTGTTTGCCTCTGGGCAAGCTAGAGCCAGACTTTGTCTCCGACTGCGGCAAGGGCTCATTTGCATATTTAAGGATGGCACAATTTTTTTGTGGGCCCTTGCCAGGCATAGTCAGCACAAGGCTCAGTGAAGTGGCCCCGGCTTTGGTGCAGCATGGCTCCTTGAGCTTACACTCAGTTGTTCAAAGCCGACCTTTTGACCTTTTGTGACAGCGGTGTTGCTCTCAGCTGAATCCCCTGGGTTCAACACCCGCCTGGTGGCTTCCAGGTGAGCAACATGTTGTTTGGTACGATCCTGGTGCATGTAACCTTCATTCCCACCGAAGGCTAGAACAGCGGCATGACTAGGTTTTGGAGAGGGTGGATCACCATAAGCCATAAACACCGCTGCTCGATTCATGAATCCAGCTGCACCAGTAGTTACTTCTGGCCCCCCCTTGGCCTTAACTCTGAGGTGAAGGGCTGACTTCTATAGCACTGCGGGGTCAAACCGATGAATCATCTGCATCTGATTCTCTGATTGCAAAATCAAAGGAACCACCCTCCAAGTACTTCCCATTTTTGCTCGGCCACGCTTCCCATAAGTCCTCCAGTGTAACCTTGGCCGGGCGTGGCTTGAGATGGCCATGTGTTAAGCTGGAACGCACCTCCTCTCAGATATGTCTTTGTGTTTATATCTGATTATGGTGATATGAATGGATATGTGTATATATATAATATGTTATACATGTGTATATATAGATGCATATATATATATATACTCATATATATATATTTATATGCATGTTCTTGAATCAATGTGCTTTTAGTGCCAACTAGCACCCACGGCAAGTGACCAACGCCCAACGTCCCCCGTTGCATCCGTCCGCTAACAACCGACAGAGCGGGGAAAATTATACAGCTTCTGTCCAGCTTCCTTCCAATTGGTGGTTTGGAGCCCGGTGGTGAAGGAGGGGTTTCCCATTTATCCTCTACAAGAGCCAGGGGTGAGAATCCAAATCCAAACCAGCAACCTGAATTGCAACAGACAGCGGTGATGTGCCGGGAAGTGAGTCAATAAGGAACCCATGTTCGGTGTAAACCATCGTCTTTTTGCGCCATGGTAACGCCTGCCGGCAGGCCTTCCCAACCAAACAATCCTGCCGCTACACGTCGCTGGACGCATGTGAGTTCCCCTGCTAAACCAAGCAAGTCCCCAAGAATCATGGCCACACAGACCGCACACCAAGGGAAATCCCTTTTCGGAACCCCCAATCCGCCTTGGCGGGAGCCTCACTCTTCTCTTTGGCATCCTTTTCTTCATCCTACGCTCCGACTCCATGAGCCCACAATGGTCAGGGCTTGAAATGGGATCCACTGTGATACAAATACCTCCCAAAGAATAAACCCCGAGGCAGAAGTGACCGCGAGTGACCCCATGGTCTTAGTCGCTTTGGATCCGATTCCAAGTCCTTTCCCTGTGGCCACAAAAAAAGCGATTCAGCGATTCGGCTCCACGCTTCGCTTTTCAAGACCCACCCTGGGCCAAAGGCACCGTTTGGGAGATATGTGCACCTCATTTGATTGGACAGTATGCGAGAACTTTGGATGCCAGCTAATTTTGCCATCAGCTTGCCCTTTTTCTTGGATTTGACGAGGTAGGAAAGAAGCAACTTCAGTATGGGGGTTTGCGCCACACATTGGATACCGTGTGTAGCTTCATGTTCCACCAGGCTTCCCATGAAAAAGCGTGTCTTGCCTGAGCCGGCTCGTTGCAGGCTCCCTGCATGTTCTTTGTGGGTCGCTTTAAACAACCTTTAAACGTCACCCTGGGCCAATTTACATTGAGTTGCTTTTTCGAGGGGAACATTTAACATAAAGAACCCAGCTTTGTTGCATTCCCCAGCTGCAAACGCATATGAGCTCTGTCTTCAAGAATTGAACGTCCATCAGAACCAACTCCAAATGCGAACAGTACAAAGGGGCCGCCAACCCATCTGTGCTTCTGTTCAATACTCAAATTTCAACATTGCTCACAGTGTTCGCTCAGTCCTCTTTGCCATCGTGCTCCTCCTCGTTCTCCTCGTGCTCTTCCTCCTTGTCTTCTTCCTTGTCTTCCTCCTTGTCTGCCCCATGCTCTTCCGCATCGGTCTTCTCAGCCACCGCCGGAATCACCGGCTCTGGCGCCGATTCCTCTCAAAAATGGCAGGTCGCCACGCCCGAATGCTCCGCCAGCTGTCGAAACAGGGGGTGTGCCCATTCAAGAGTGATTCGGGCGCTGAATCGCTTCAAGTGAAACCTCATGAATGATTCGGCCAATGTTTCACGGTTCTGAGGATCCACTCCGCCAATGCAAGCACCCAAATGTCTCGAATGCCTGCAACAGGGGAACCTGAAGGACACTCAGCTGAAGTCCTCCTTGCACGGCACCTTGAACTTGAAGGAGATGGGAAAGATCGAATCATCCTCATAGCGGAGGGGCAAGTAACGGGGCAAATGGGTACGAGTCGGTATGATTCTCACGCTGGAAACAATGTAACAAGGAACCCCGCCTGTACAAGACTTTCATCGAGGGTGAGCCCATTTTGCCCACAGGTAAGCTCGTAAACAATCTGTCCAAATGAAGTGGGGAGAACACACCTGGCCTTCTCTTATTCATTGTCTTTTTTAAGCACCGCCAACCTACTTGTCCGCCACTGACCCTGGAGGAGCAACCAAGCGCGACAACGCGCTGCGCTGGAAGTTGACCAAAACTGCGGAGAACTTGCCTTGGAAAGGATGCAACAGGTTCTCTCAAAACAAGGAACCAACCCCACGAGGGGGTCGTGCTTCTTCTTTCCATTGAACCTCGTGCTCTCGTGGGCCAACTGCCAATCAGAGTTGGGCAGTCCAAGAAAACAACCACGCTCCCCCCCAACCCCACCCTGTCTCAAGGCCACTTGGGTAAGGCAATATAACAGGGATCCTTACACTATACACCTGAACATTGCCTTGTAAATGGTGGTGTCCCTTTGTTTTGGTGGCAAAAGCCATGTTTCAAATGGGCAAAATGTATCTTTTAAGGAGCCCTGTAATATATGAGCATTCCTCCCCCCCTCGCAGCGAGAGTGCACCATTCCCGTCCAAAGCCCCAAGGCAACCCTATGTACCTCAAGAAGGTGTGCTCTACGACGAATGGAAGCAATGGCGACAAGAACAGCAAGCCTGGGAATAGCATTTAACGCCTTGCGCGCATTTCGGTGTGCGTCAGGCTCGAACCATGAATCGCAGAATTGCACTGTTGAAGCAACACAAAACAAGAAACGGACCTGACAAATGCCTGATCCTGAATGCCGACCATATGGGAAACAATGACCCTCTCAGTGTCAGTTGCAAACAAGAATCCAACTTTTCAGAATAATGTCCGACGCGAGTGGACCTTCGGTCTAGAATCCAATATCGAGCATCTAGAATGTGAGATGTTTATAGATTTCTCCCCTTGTCAATGTACTGGGCAGCTTTTTGCTTGAGAGCTATGCTCCTGTCCCTCTGCAACTGCCTAGTGCAGGGGCCAAGCAGCCCCTTCAAGGAGCCAAGGAATCCTCAAGCACTACCCTTCCCACAGGTTCCAGTTGCACCTGCAAGTTTCCACCCCGCACAGCGCCCGATTTCCAACTGAATAAACATTAAGGTGCCCTTCAAGAGCGCGGAATCGCACCGAACTGCGGCCGCGCTTCGTGTGGATCGAGGCTCATAAACTCCATTGGTCCAATCTCATCGCCTTTGGCCTCAAGCTTTGTCGAATCGGCACGGAGCGGAGTCCCAAAATTCATGTCAACCTGCTGACCACCCGAAATCCGCCCAAGTTGCACGCTGAAGCGGGGGCTTTACTCAAGCGATGGACACACCTACCGATAACAAGACAAGAGGGCGCCAGCACAACTGGTACGGAAACCAACTGCATGCACGGGACAAAGTCATTGCATGCCTGGAACCTAGAAAAACAACGATGTAATGATGTTTCATGCGTGATGCAAGTTCGCCTCCCCGAACGAAGCCAACATTAATGAGCGATTCAATGAATGCTCATGCATGCTGCCCGCCTTTTGGAAGAGTTGCTCGCGACCAAACCTGCAAAGAATCACCTGGGTTCCTAGGCTGATTTAGTTGAGTTGAACCACTCTGAACAACATATCGCACCCTTCTGGTGCAGTCCAAGAAAGCCGTGCCTCAAGGTTCCCCATTAAGTCACAGCCTCACAACTAAAATTGAGAACCAAGGCATGCTTCCAAATGGGACGTTTCTCTTGGGTTTCGCCTGAAACCCAGGTGCAAGGGCTCCAAACCAAGGCGTGCTTTCTGACACATAGATGGCCCTAGATGTTGCCCCCCCGCCCCCCCCAAGACGCCCAAAGGCGCCGAAAGGCGCCGGTTGGGGTCCCGGCGCTGTGAACCTTGGGCTCCGGATCGAAGCTCTTGCTGCCATCGCTGCACGCCATCATCAGCTCCATGGGGTCGCTCCAGCCCTTCCTCGCTCGGAAGCCGTTTACATCATGAAAATGTTCCAGTCTTCCTTGAGCCCCCCCAATGGTCATGCTCAGTACGAAGGTGGCATGGTACAAGCCCCCATTCCTTGTGGGATGGGTGGGGGGGGTCTATGGTGTTTCCCCGGCCTCTTGTGGGAATGGGGGTTGGGGTCTACAGAAGGGGTCAATAGAAGGCAGCGCGGGGTGCGGTGGGGGCCCACCCCTGGCCCCTGCATCTGCATGGACCCATACTTCTTTTTTTGGCGGGGGGGGGGGGGCTGGGGGGGGGGAGGGGGCGCGACCGGAACATATACGTATATATATATCTATATATATATATATATATATATATCAATATACATGTGTCTGTATAATATACGTGTTCAATGGGACGAAAGGTGGTGTATGGGCGTTCCTTGTTTTAAGCGCCATTTCCGGGTTGGTTTAAAGGGAAACCGAAAGCAAAGCCACAAAGCCACAGCTTTGGGGGCGGGCGGGTCCAAAAAAGACGCACCCAGATGACATAGGTTCCTGCGGCAAAGGGGTGCCCCAAGATGAGAGCCCTTAGGGTTCTTTGTTTCACGCTCAAACGCCAGCTTCCAGTTCCTCGGTCCGTCTCAGCCAGGCTGCGCTGTCATCAACGTCATGAGCTTCATCGCGAGAACCTGCGACGTCCGCTGGCGGACAAAACTGCACCTTGGCAAACCCACTATGCGTACGGGGACCGCAGGGACTTTAGCTTGACTCCATGTGAGCAAGCCTGTCAACAGAAGCAACCTAAGACGTGCATCAAGGAAGTGGTCAAAGGAGCACATCATAGCGCATCATAGCACATCGAGGTATAGGCTGTCTCAGCTTCACCTAGTCCACGCCTCAACATTTCTCAATGTTCCCTCCAACCAAACAACCAAAACACGAAGAACCAAACATTGGCTTCCATTTGCTTAAGCCCCCCTGGGAAAAATAAAAAGTGATAGACTATCGTTGAAACTAACGGGGGGAAATAACGAATATTCTTAAGCAAATGGAAATTAGCCCAAAGTTGCTATCCATATTGATCAACATCTTGTGCCGCATTTGGCCCCCATCCCCGAAGCCAAAAAAACAAACCAGCGCCCCCTTTGTCCCGGCGCCTCTTCCATGCCCGGCCCGAATTCATCCTTGCTCAGGGTGAACTCGGTGTACTCGGAACCTAACAGCTTCCGATCAAACGCGTTTTGGTCGCGGCCAAGACACAAACCGCTGGACTCTGTGCGTTCCGAGTTGGTTCAACATGTGCCAAGCAAATCGCCAGCAAACAAAACAAAACAACCAGCCTGGACATCCAAACGGCCACATGTGACATGAGTCAGCATACAAAAACTTCTATTAATCAAGTACAGCAGCAGCCCGACAGTCAACTACTCCAATCCCCTTGGGGCTGCAGTCGTGCTGCAACGGCTAGGCTGAGAGGCACTGACAAGCCGTCAACTCTGTCGCAAGCTGAGAAACACAGCATCCCGAATTTCGAAACCGATTGTTTCCGCACAAGCAACCTTGCTTTTTCGGCATAATGTGTTTCTTTTCCGGCAAAGTCAACAGTTTGATACCTGCTTGGCTGGCTTCGCAGTGCCACGTCAAACGAGCACTACGACGCTAAGCAAACTGGCTGCAACTGTACGCCGTCGCCTGGCTTTTCCTCTGGCTTTTCCTCTGGCTTCTCTTCTGGCTTCTCTTCTGGCTTCTCTTCTGGCTTCTCTTCTGGCTTCTCTTCTGGCTTTTCCTCTGACTTCTCTGCCTTCGCCTGGCCGTTCCAATCGCTTGGACAAGCGATATGAAAAGCCCCTGGGAGCGTAGCTGTTTCGTTGATCACGCGTTGAATCGTGGGCTTCGTGGGCCGAAAGTTCAACGTGCAACGCTCCACATGGCCCGTTCTGGGTGCGAACTAGTCTATCCAATTTGACGCACTGAAAGCTGGGGCTCCGTCACTAAAACATGCAAAGTTCCATAGCAACGGCGGATGGGATGCTCAGGCATGGTCGGGAAAATGAATCATGCGCCAAGTGAGATCGGCGCCTAGCCAACAGCTTTTCTGGAAAGTCAGAGGGAACACGCTGTGTCCCACTTCAACTATTTTGCGCATCCACCCTTTTGGACCGCTTTCTTGGAATGCGTGCTTGTTGCCCGCCTGGTTTAAAGACCTTTTGGACCGCTTTAGGTAAGCTTGGCCCTGCATGTTCGCACGGCCGAATCTCCTTTGAGCGCTCCTTCCCAGTGCAGGGTAAGGAAAAAACCAATGACCTCCCCGGTCAAAAGAGAAGGCAAGCGTGGAAAATCGCAGAGATCCTATTTTCAACACCCATAAAATTTGAATCCAGCCGACACCCCCCATCGATTCGCTACGCCTTCTCCTCCTCCTCTTCTTTGGCTTTAGCCTCTGCTGCTTTCTTGGCCTGGCTTGCACCAGGCGGTCCAGGACAAAAGGCTTGATTTGGGGAATCCTTCACAAGGGGCACAGGAGTTTTGCCTGGCTGCAGCCCTCAAGTAGCCCTGGACTGCCTCGTAGCCCGTTGCTTTCTTGCAATGTTGAGGTGTTGAAATTCGGGGACGTTCCAAAGCAACAACTGCAACGCCACTGGATGAACAGTTCCAAGCCCGGGTTCACCACCCAATCGTTTCCTTTTCCGAGGGAAACTGGGGGTTCAACTCCATTTGGGGAAGCTGCCGCAGCCCGGGGCGTCTTGAATTCATAGCAAAAGCCGACCATGTAGCGAATACTTCACCTGAAGTGATCCTACATCCCAGATCTTGTTGGTGTCCACAAAACGCCACCCATCATGCAACCGCTTACACCTGCACACCTTCCATACAGGCTTTGCTCTTCAAGGCCAGCTGAAGACATCCGTAGAAGCATGTTTCAAACGCATGCGTGTCTTGCCAAAAACCATAAGACAAACAACGCAATTCACCAACCCGAAATACCAGACCCTAACATTGCGCAACCCCCCATTGCGCCGGACATTGCTCAAGCCCAACTTGAAACAAACTATCAATCTGCAACCGGATCATTCAATTTGCCCGCGCCGTCACTGTGACTCGTTTGGCATTGGGCATGTGTCAAAGCGGGATGCAACTATTTGGTGGTTTCGCGTTTTCCCGTTGGTTTCCCTTTTGGAGCAACCCCAACTCGGGATACTGTCTCCAAGATAAACGCACACCCATTCGGCCCCCACCCGCCATGGGCCTTCTCTGCCTTCTCTGCCATCTTCTGCTTCTTTTTCTTCTTTTTCCGCTGGGCCTCTGTCAAAAGCACAGGGTTCATGGGGGTGCCGTATCGGCAGAACTTGAAAAGGTGAAGTCTGGCAAACTCGGGCCATCCCAACCGAAGAGCCGCGCGATTGCGCAATGGGTATAGACGTCCAATACGGACAGTGGCAATGAAAGTCACGTGCACATTCCACAAATTGCCCCAAGAACCCCAGGCACATGGGGTTGCCTAAGGTTAGACCCAAAATGACCCAAACTACCAAAACCAGTGAGGTTCAAGGGAACTCTCCTTGGCTACGCAGTGGGTCGGGTGCAGTGGGTCCAGTGGCTCCGGACCAAAGGCCCAATGTCGTGCCGGGCCTTCGTTAAGGCAGCCTCCCCTTGGCCCTCAGCCTCAGTCGTGCACAGGACATGAAAAAAAACTGCCAACCTGTCGGACACCAAGGCTCCTAGGGCACCAAGGCTAGAGGAAGCACAGCTCCAATCTTGCAATCGCCGGCCGTACCCGGTTGTCCATAAGAAAATGCAAAAAGGGGCATCTGGAAGTTGACAGACCCCTAAACAACATAAACCACGTAATCTGCTGAATGAGCAGCATGAGTAGCACACGCAACGGCCAGGCGACACACGTGCCTAGTGCACCCTCCCAAGTTGGTTGCTACACATGCTTGGCCCTTTCAGCATGGATCTTCTGCCTCCCCCCGGAAACCAAACCGAATTGCCGAAAACAGGCACACGCTACCGCAATCTTGACAAGCGGGGGGGGTGCCGCGCAGCCTATTCCCAGACAGGCATGTGGGTTGAAAAAAAAACCCCGTGGACAACCCTTGTATCCTTATGCCTCAGTATCGGTCAGTATCGGTTTTTTTCCTCTGCATCGGTTTGCAGTGTTTTGGCAGCTCTGGCTCGAAAGTCGCGACTTTTCCGTACAAGTGTAGTATGCGAAGTACACTCTGCCAGCTCCCAGCCCCAGCTGGAAATCGCAACTTTCAGTACAAGTGTAGCACAAAGTACATTTTGGCAGCTCCAGCTGGAAAGTAGCAACTTTTCAGTAGTATGCGCAGGACACTTTGGCAGCTCCGGCTCGAAAGTCGCAGCTTTTCAGTGCAAGCAAGTGTAGTATGGTGTAGTATACGAAGTACATTTTGGCAGCTCCACAGCGGCAGTCGCAACTTTTCAGTACAAATGTAGTACACAAAGTACATGTTGGCAGCTCCAGAGAAGGCTGCAGGGCAGCTGGTTGGATTCGGCATGGCGGCCAATGAGTTGGGTATCGGTTGGGTATCGGTTTGGGTATCGGTTTGGGCCCTGCAAATTTATGATTCCGCAATCTTGGTTTGCGACAACAACTAGGACCTGATGTGTGTCTTCATGGCTTCTGGGGGTATCGGTTTTTTTTCCTCTGTATCGGTTTACAATGGTTTTGGCCTGCGAAACAAGTTAAGGGACGGCCCCTTACATAACGAAAAGGCGCGGGGTATTTTTTTCAGCCCATGTGAGATGCAATGCCAAACTCAGCCAAGGATCTGCCTCCGCCAAAAACCTGCGGGAGGTGTATGTATACATAGAAAGGATATATACGTGTGTGCAAATAAGCATGAATCACATTTAATATATATATATATATCTCTATATGTATAAATATATATACATATATCGTATATTTGCACATTTCTGATACAGCCGCTGGGGCTTATGGTGTCATCGACTCCACCAGATTCTATTGCAGGCAACCCAAAGCCCACGTCTGAAGGCAGCTCGAGGCTCGCCCGAGATGGACCATTCGCATGCCTGGTACAGGCATTTGACAAATTCATGCCCAAGTCCTGCCTCAGGGCGGTTCTCCCTTGTAAACACAACATTCAAGAAGTCACGCCCAAACCTTTCCTTTTATGGCCCCCCTTCTAAACGCAACACAAACATCATGCCCACGAGATCAGCGGACAAACGCATGTGTCTAGTTTCAACAAGAGGTGTGATCTTCCCCCGGTGCCCTCCCCCGCTCTAAACGCAACGCAAACATCATGCCCGCGAAATTAGCTTATCAAAACCCGCGTGGGATCCGAACTCAACGGTAACCATACATATGTAAGCCCCCACCAGGACGCAAGCCGCACTGACTTCCTCAATCAGCACCCTGCTTGGCACACAAAGGTGGACACAGGACAGAGAGAGCATCCTGAAGTTCAAGGATCAGTGCCCGCATGGGTGTTCCCCGGAATCACGAAAGCTAAGCGGATACAAACACAGGTTAAGCACAATGTTGAACTTGCAGTTGAAGTCATACAAGCTGCCAAGCGCACCCAAACTCCATGTAAACGCAACACGGCACAAAACAAACAGCTTCCTACGTTCTTCCCAGCCTAGGATGTAACACACGCTGCAACTGCAACGAAAGGCACGACTTTCCCTTCGCTTCCGCATGGAATTCTGCACATCTGGGCTTTTAGGGCACGACTTTCCCTAACGCCAGTATTTGGCCAAAAGGGAATAGACCCAACCATGCAACGGGCATTGTCCATGACACAAGCCCAAAAGAGGAAGTATCCAAAACCTCTCAAACCAGTAAGGCCCAATTTGAGGAAACACACCCATCACACCCCAAGAAATGTGTACCACTGGTTTGAACCTTGGCTGCCCCCATCACAACATTTCCTGTACAAAGGCAAGTCCTAATGCCAGCTGCCCTTGCCAGAATAGCATGTCCGCTTGTGCAATCTGACTGAGGGGGCAAGCAACGCAGCAAACGTTGGCCACTGGGTGCTCCACACGCTGGCACTTGTGATATGCTCCGGGTGTTGTTCCCAGGATGTTCCCAAATGTTGTTCCCGGACCAGTTGAACTCCCTCAAAATCCCAGGGGTTGGCCATGGAGATGTGCGCCTACGGGATGCTATGGGCTTGATTCATTGAGGGCGGTCAAGAACGGCAGTCAAGGTTGCTTACAGGCATCTTGAGCAGATCCCGGTCCACGACCCCTGTAAACCGCATCAAGCACAAATATATTCAAACATCACGGGTCTTAAACTCAGCGAAGCAAAGAACACCAGCATGCGTACTTGTACAACGACGCAACATTGTACAACGGCATCGATTAATCAAAAGCAGCCAAGCAACCAAGCAAACAAACTCAATTCTGAGACAGCTCTGGCTACCCCCTCTGCCTAGTCAGTGTGTCAAAGACCTGTGGCATCTGTGACTTCAAGGCGGCGTTCAAGTGCACCGTCTTCCTAAGCGAGGAGCGCAGCTTCAGGAAGGGGTGACCATGCGCATAGGGAACACTGGCTGTGTGACTTATGTATCTTGCCTGTTGCCCCACGTTCCTACACAAAGCAACAAGTTCTTGTCGGATTCCACCATTGTTGGAACCCGACACACACACAATTGCCATGCCCAGATCCAACAAAAACAATTTTTGCAGCTGGTGGAGCCAAGCCTCTACATGATTCCTCAAGCAGGGGACTATGCTGAGCCAAGGCCATTGGGGGCTGGTTGGAGTTTGCCTCCCAAGCGCAAGCAGCCGCGAGAGGGCCGGAAGAGGCGACAGAGACATCTCATTCTTAAAGTGCTAAATGTCGAGGTTGCAGAGGATTTGCAGATTTCAGTAAACGCCTTGATCTGCTTCTGTTCTGCGGGATTAAGGCACGCCCATGTCAGGAGCCCTTCAATTGGTTGTCTGCTGTTTTGACTCAAGCCAACTGCAAAGGAAATCGGCCCCAAGTGGCAAAAGCAAAACATCCAGACATATATATATATATATATAAATGATTTCCATCAACGCCCTCTCCCTGCATCTGCGGCGAGCGGCTCAATATCCAGCTGCCAATCAGCACGAACTCCGGCATCGTACGCGGGTCCCGTGTGGTTCAGGCGCTTGAGCAAGGCGTTGGGAGAGGTGCTGGGCCTGGCAACTTGCTGCAAAGCGTCATACATCCTAGTCCCGGTCATTGATCTGCACTCTGTCTACAAGCACCTCCTGCGAGTGGGGATGGGCGTTGCATTGCCTGAAAAAACACAAAGGTGGCACCTCATAGAAAGGTCGAAAGTCCCTCTGTTCGCACAGCACCATTTACTGGCACCCGGGGCTTCAAGCAACCAAGGAAGCCTGAGCCCACTGCGAGATGCGAAAGCCTGGACAAATGTCAGGAAGCAATCGGAGAAAAGCGATACGAAGCGGTTGACTTGTTCAAGGTACATGGCAGCAATTCATGCCAGCGTTTTGTAAAACGCAGTTTACACCCCCCAGGAAGCCTCCGCATTCCGAAAACGACGCCCGTCTGTCGTCGCTGCGCCTCTGCACACTGTAATGCTCCACACAGCCGCGGCACTGGTCCCACCCACAAGCGCGGCAGCTCCATCGAACCTCACAGGATTGCTTTATGATGCTTCGGCGTCCCTCAAAAAGGGTGGTTTGGAGCCCGGTGGCTTGGTGGCTAAGGGGAGGCTTCCCGGAGTTCAAATCCCCAAAGCACCAACCAAACCACTAACTAAGGCTTGCCTGAATGGTGATGTGAATCTCATAGTGCTGTAAGCTTTTGGCAAATGGGGTGGTGCTCGTTGAATCTTGAATCTCGGTTGCAACGCATGCTCGGGACACGTTTGATGAAGCAATCCAAGCCACCCTTTTGGGGGTGAGCAAGCTTCATGACTGCTTGAAGTCGTGGGGGATGATACGCAGAGCCTAGCAACCCAACCACAGTGAGCGGACGACGCTTGAAGATTGCTTTCCTCATTTGTTGCATATATTGTGTGGAAATGCCAGCTACGGTACGAGCAAAAAGCAACGCACCAAACGATACCCAAAAGCCAACCGACAGAAGCTCCTTCCGCCCCCCCTCAAGGCTGCGCCTGGGGCCCCTCGGTATTGCGGGTGCAGTGAGGGGACTTGTCGTCGCATAACCAGGTGGTGGAGCCGTTGTCGAACTTCGTAAGCTCCTTGGCTCAACTCGGATGAGTCAATTCCCCGGCAAAGCGTGCGGGGAATTGCACTCAGGGCAGTGCGAGCTCCAGACGTCTGAAGGCTTTTGTACGACACCTTGTCATATTTCGGACTTGACGCTTCATCCCAAATGGCAAAACTGTTTACTTTCTGGGAGTACTGGCGGTATTTTTGTAGGGATGAACAACTTTGAGGGCAGAAACTCTGAAGACGTCTCAATCTAGGGTTGGATGGTCCATTATTTTTAACCATGGCTCTTTTCAACAACCAGCTGTTTCCTCTGGCTTGCTTTATGGTTTCCTGATGTTGCCTGAAGGATCCCTGAAAAGAATGCGGAAGCTTCCGCTAGACTCAAGGTTCCTTCGGCTGGGGCTCAAACTCCTGAAGGGCTGTGCTTTGTTCATGCGTGGCACTTATACAGCTTGCTCACACACCGAAAGTCGACGACAAGCCGTTGGGACTGACAGGGTTTCCGTGCTGCTCTCATGTCCTGCCTGGTCACTTTGCAACAAGAAGCGTTGTGCAAGTTGTGCGTGATACAAAGGAAAGGTTGTGGCACCGCCATGTTTTCGTTGCCCGTCATAGCAGAAGGTCTGAATGAAGACTCGGGGTGTGAATGCAGCTTGGCAAACCAAAGGCCTTTTGAAACACGTCCTTTTGCGACTCTGATTGTTCAATATGCTGTCTCTGTTCAAAGGACGCCCCCCCCAAAATGGTGGGTGTCCCTTCGTCTTCCCTTGAAAACCAGGCACTCCAACAAAGAACCTAAGTCTCGCCAAGCATCGTGCAAGTGGCAGCTGACCTTCACCTCATGATGAAGGGACCGGAAGGCCGGGCTGAAGTGACAGCTGGTTTAGCGACTCTACACCACTGGAACTGGCTGTATAGGAATCTAGACCCCAGGTTGGAATTGTACTGGAATCCTAGGTTGGAATTGTACTGGAATGGTCTTGTCGCGGCACACCCTCCCATCCAGCCTTATGACATGGCAAGCCGTGAGCAATGAGCCGTCATCACTAACTGGATCGGTCGCTTAGCTCTGTAGTGTAATCAATCGCAATGATTCGCTGGAAAACTCCAGGGGTGCTAGGCCATGACTAGAGGAAAAGCCAAACGCTTCCCCCGCCCCCCCACTCCTCAAACCTTCAAGGCTGGGCGATTCCCTCTCCCGGATGATCGGCCATCGCCCCCGGCGGTTTTGCGTAACAAGCGCACGGTCTGGTATTCAAACAAGGGGCCATGGCAGGCCGTACGACGTCATGGCCGAATTTGCCGCCATGCCAGGCCATACATTCTAACTGCCGCCTAGGCCTATGCCATCTAGAATCCCCTTAAGTGTACCAAGGCTTTCTCTGCACGGCAGTTGCCAGAAGGACCCACCCTCTTGCTGTGGCTGTGCCTCTGAAGCTTTCACTGAGAGCTCGGCCACATCTGGTACTCCGCCGCCTTTCTTGGCGTCCAGGGCAAACTGCAGGATCTCCGAGCTCGCCGCCAGGTCTGCGGGGTACCTTTGCCCCAGGCATCAAACAATCTGACGCAACTTGGGGCATACGGCAAATGCCAGGTTTGCCAGGAAGAAAACCAGCACCGGTGGCACGGTCAAAATGTCAAGTCTCAGTCATCCGGCGGAAACATCACCCCACACTCCGACGGTCCCAACCATCCATGCGTCACTTGGCCCCAAGGCTGCAAGTTCAGTGCAAGTGCCTCAAGTGAAAACAAGAGCGACCCGCAAGCCAGTACAAAAGTAGTGCCCACATATGGCAATGACAGGCAGCCAAAGTAAAGCCCCCGCTAAGGGAAGTTCAGGAAGCTTAACCTGCTTATCAAGGGCATTGATTGCCCCCAGTCGGTGCGTAGCAACTGGAAATCATGAGGGCCCCTAATATAGAGGTATTTGTGTTCATGTGCACGCCAAGGGTAACCGTATGACAAGCGGCCCTCCTTAAGGGATGTGGACCCCTCCTGGATGCATTCATCAGAGGGCGGGGATGGTGTAGTGCGAAAAGCAAAGCCAATCTTAGTTGCTTGGTGTTCCCTCGTTTACAGCTGTAATTGTAGGGGGATGTGTCATAAATCCCTCTGATTGCAAAACAACTTATATGTCTCCGTTTGCTTGCCTCCCATTGATTCCCATTGATGGTGGGAAAATTGCCAATATGTTGCTCCCTGCTCATGGTGAAGCCAACACGCAGACTGTTCTCACGCGGATTTTCTGGCTGATAAGCCCATGGCAACTGCTCGTGATGCGCAGTGTGTCTGTTGGCAACCTGCCTGGACCTTGCTCAAGCTTGGGCTCATGTGCACATGATTCACATGCTTCATTGACACGACTTGCAAGCTTGAACATGTGCCACGGTCAGAACTGCATTGGATTGCCAAGTGTGGATGGAGCACTCGGGCACTCTTTGCTGATGTTGGCTGATGCTGTGGCTCAATCGACGCGGAATTTCTGACAGGTGACTGCACATGGGCCTCCGGAAGCACCGTCACCTGAACGGTTTTGATTGCCCGTGGGGAAATCCCTCAGCCTCAGAAAAGGTCATTGGGTTGCTCCAAAGGTCCGTGATACACGGGGTGACCAATAGGAGAAACCACCAGAAAAAGCTGAGGGTCAAAACATGGGAAAAGCCACCCCATGGTCATCTTGGGGCCAGGAGTATTGATCAACCTCCATTCAAAAATAATCAAACAATAGATGAGGCACAAGAACCTCTTACGAATCCGTAAGCAGAGGGGAGATACACATTTGATCTGCCTACTTTGTGGCGTGATCACCTGGAGTCAGGGCGTAAGAGCTAAACAGGCAGGATGCTACAAAGGGCATGCAATCACTGAAACTCACTTTCTGAACTCATGACCGTCTCAAAACACGCAAAACTGCCGTGTGTTTGCCATGGTCCAAACCCAAAAAGGTGTCCAGGAACTCGGGAAGTGAGGATCAGCCGCCCCCAAGCTCTCAGGCAACACTCTGAACGCAGCTGGCTGGTTTCCTGCTGCATGCCCTGATCGCCACATGGGGCATCCGGTGGACTGAGCAAAATGGTGTTGGCTTCTGCCATGGAAGCCATACGTCCAGTGAAGCACCCTGCAAAACCCTCGCGCCACTGCGCGGACGAGAACAAAGCTCACATTCGGTTCATGGCCAGTTTCACATCGCGGAAGTCGAAAATGGCTGTAGATTTGAAAGGCTCGCATGTATGCTGGGCCAATGCAGTGTCCTGAAGCTTGGGAACACGCCAAGACAAGGCCATTGCCCAATCAGCAGCTCCATGCGAAACAAAATCTTCAGGAGAGCGGCGCCAGTCAACGAACCAGAATAGAAACAAAATACAAGAAACGGGCTGGGCCACCTCATTGAAGTGAATAATGCCACATGCACCTAGCGTGTCATCTCGCAACCTCTCCGCATGTTCCAGTGAAGGACGTCGGCCCACTGACCGGGTTCACCATGTTATCTCTTTAAAGACTCCCCCACCAAAACTGAGCTGTCCTCAGATCCCCCGCCAAAAGTTAATGGATACCCCCAGCCCTAAAAAGCTCAAAACCTAAGAAACCGGATGGCTGGGAAGTGGAAACCACCAAGAAAAATGAGGCTCGCTATACACCGGCCCAACCCATGTTCCAACACCGACCCCTGACCTTTCGGCGGCTGGCCTGGGTGGGCGAGCAGCTGTCCGTGAAGACAAGAGTGAGGTCACCTTGCGCCCCAGGGGCTGTCGTCAAAGGACCCTCGAGGGGTCTTGAACAGTTCAAGTCCAGAGATATGTTTTGGACTTAGCGAAATCCCAAACAATCTAGAACACGGCGCGTTGGTGAGCAATGGCTCCCACATCTTGAAAAAAATACCTGTCCTTGGCCCTGTAGCAGGCAACCTTTCAAGTCGCAGCAAAAACGGCTCAATCATCATGCTGCAACATCTTTCTGAACAGTCTTGAGTGTGTGTGTGTGTGTGTGCGTGCGTGCGTGCGTGCGTGCGTGCGTGCGTGCGTGCGTGCGTGCGTGCGTGCGTGCGTGCGTGCGTGCGTGCGTGCGTGCGTGCGTGCGTGCGTGCGTGCGTGCGTGCGTGCGTGCGTGGTG